GCTGCAGAACGTACACTACGGCTAACGTCACCAGCAAATAATTCAATTCCTTTTACAGCTCGATCCGACTTCATTTCATCAGGAAGCTTTGAACATAATGTTGGTAGGACTAAGCAACAAGAGCGGCGTACGTGCCATATAGGATCGGTTGAGAAATGGTCGTATATAGGTAACTTTTTATATCATTGATTGCTTAATATCATCAATTTGGTAATGCTTCAAACCAAGCATGAAAAAAATGGTTTGTTATTTACCAATTTTGAAGTTATTATATCCAAAGGTAATACACTAGCTAAACTTCCAATCGCTAAAGCCGCTTCCTAGAACAAAAGAACAGCTTCAATTATAATTTTAGACCTAGCAAGAATTAAATAATATCAGATAACCAACCTTCCGTACATAGAATACTGGTTCTTCCATCATTTTATCTAATTCAGGTACAAATAAACGGATACATCTTTCTGGGCCAACGATCGGTGCTAAAGATGATATCAACTACAAATATAAAATGATTACAGACCAGGTATTAGGAAATAGAAATGTTGAATAAAAATTCGGTAACTTACCGACATCATTGTCATTCGGCCTAGCTCAACTTCTTCCTCGATACCAGTAACGGCACCAACGCTTGTGTCGTCACCGTCAGCTTCCCATTCATTTAATTCTTCTCTCTTTACTTTCTCTTGATCAAGACGACCTATTCCTAAAACAACACCTTCCAAAGTTTCTTTTTCAAGTAATTCCTTTTCTTTAGGGTTAACATCTGGTTCTTCCAGTATTCTCTCAACTAGAGATTGTATAACATTTTGAGCTGCTTGTGCGATACTAGTGTTTTGATCAAGAAGCAATGCATGAAGAAGAGGTGTAAAGGCAGCTGGCGATAGATATGGCAAATGATTAGTTGGAGTAGGCGGCTGTGATGGCAATGATTGCTGTATTGGAGTCTGCGGCCTCTGAGGTGATTGAGGACTTTGAGGTGTTTGTGGTCTTTGTGGAGTCAAGGGCCTTGACGTTGAAGTATTATCGTTCTGGATATTATCTGTTGTAATTTCTGTCGTAATCTCTCTTAGTGGACAATGCTGAGTCAAATGGTAGAAATTTTCCAGAATGTTGAGCAATAGTAAAAAAAAAAACTTCATTTGAATATGAAAAATTTAAATCTTTTATATTAACTTACTGAATAATAAAACCATATAATTTTATCTAACTCAGGAGCAAATGCTTCGCGCACATGATCCTCTGAACGTATTAACAGAATTATCAATTGATATAATTAGATCAAAGTGATAAATAAAATATTAAAAAAAAAAAAAAAAAAAAAAAAAAAAAACCCCGACCAGGATCTGTTCCTAATGAATTCATCAAAGGCAACACATATTCGACAGCCTCGCTGATTTCCACATCTTTTATCAGAGACGGCAGTTCCTTTGCGATGAACACTCTCATTAAGAAAAAATATACAGTTAATTATATACCAGAATATTGATATGTTAGTATGAATTTTAATAAATTATATTACTATTTAATAACTCAGTAATACCTACCTATGGAATACCAAATCGCTCTTTACATATAGAAATATCTTCTCGAG